GGTGGTTTTGGAGGAGAATTTGTCAGTGATTAGAAGACAATTAAAAACAATGTGCAAAGAGAAAATGGACTAGTTTGGACCAAACTTTTTTTACAATAGCCAATGCAGTTTGTGAGGAAGGAATATGAGGGGTTTGTCTTGAGTTTTACAGAGTTTCTGCTGTTGTCTGGGTTGATGTTAAAGACACGCTACTGAAATGTGGTCTAAAAATAATTTTTTGTGAGATCTTGTACAGGTGGTTGAAAAATTGCTTTTGAAGCTGACTTGTAAATAATTCGCTTAAACAAGGATGTCACAAAGTGTCCTCTTGGGAAGTTCTGTTTTGAGTGTATTTTAATTGTTTTCTGTAATGGTGAACAGAAAATATCTATGTTGCCAAGTTGGAAGGATTGCAAGCACTGTACGGCTCAGGGTCAGAATTCAAAATGATCTTGAGAAGGTTGGTAACAGATTGGAAATCAGTGTAATGAAGTTCAGTTAACAAGAACTGAGGGAGGAAGAGAACACAGGGAGGAGAAATCAAAGGCATAATTAGCAGAAAGGATATTGCTGGAGTAAGCAGTATCCCAAAAAAGCATGTGAACACTGTAGTGCATAGTAAATTAAATATTAATTGATTATATGATGTCCTTTCAACTAGACAAATGTTATTTTGGCACGTTAACAGAGGTGATTAAATACAAAGACAAGGAAAGCGATTGCTCCATTGAAGAAGGGCCCCAGCTAAGGTGGTATGGCTATTTTGTTAACCATAGTATGTAGATTTCTAGATTCTGCATGAGTATTAGATTTATGAAACTTGGTTTGTGAGGGGGAACTTGAAAGGCATAGGCACACAAGAAAATAAACTAAGCAAATTTGAGGAGTGCCCTCACATCCATAGAAGGGTTGCTATGTAAAGGCTAGTGATTAACTAGTCTTCGAGCTCTCTGTAGAGCAAGTGAAGAAATCATGCTTGTTTTTAGAAGGTAATACTTGGGTTGGATGTTAAAGCAAAACGTTTGGCTTTTAGGTTGACAAAGCACCAAAGCTGGCTGTCCACAAAGATTATGAAATATCTTTTGCCAGGGAAATGCCTGGCCAGACATCTGTTGAGGACAGTCTGGTCTCTCAAAGGTCCTTACAGGTGTGTATTTAAACAGTTCTGTGTGTACTAACATGGTGGAATTAGAAATTTTAATTGGAGAAAACTGCTTTGGAATCTGCAAAAGTTTCCTTCAGCCTGGATTTTTATGGAGCTGTAGTAGGAATGGACCGTGATATGTCCTTCTCTATCTTCTCTTCAGTGTGTTGCGGAAGAGTATGCGTGTGCTTGGTGAAGGGGTTTCTTTCAGGTATGCACCTTTTAAAAGTGTCTTCCACTGATATACTGAGAATGACCGGTCTGTTTTGATGGTGAAAGGTAGACTGATGAACCGTGTAAATCTGTTTCACTCTGCTTATAAACTGTACATTTGTTACAGCATCTTTAATGGCTGCTGCTTCAAAGGGATGCTCTCTGGAAAAGAACTAACTTCTCTGAGGGAGATGCTGAGGGATAAAGGGTTCAAGGAGTGGGGGCGGGGAAGATTAGCTGCCTTCTTGTCTTGATCAAAGTATGTGCATACCATATAGTGGAAGGTGGCAAAATGAAAGTGTGACGTCGATCACGTCATTAAGACATTAATATTTTAATATTGTTAATAAGGAAACAGCAGCCTGTTAATGATCTTCTGGAATAACTGAATTGGAAAATTTGACATGTTTCCAGCCAATGCTTCTATAGATGCAGTGTGTCTTTCCATTTTTCAGCAGATGTCAAGAAGGGCTTCTAGACATATTACTTGTTTTTCTGCAACCTGGAAAAAAAATGAGAAAAACCAATTCTCGTTCCATTATCTTCTTGGGCTAAGAAAATGTTTTTTTGTTTAAGTTTTATTTGGTGACTTAAATTACTTCTAATGTTACGTATTTGTGCCTTGTCCAAAATGACTACTAAAATGCCTGAAAGTGTTACTTGAGTGAGCTGGCCTGTTGCTGTATTATTTTTCCTCAGTACGTCTGTCAGCTTTCTGCTTTTAAGATTCTTAGAGTATTGGTAATCTTCAGCAAAGCTGTCCAGAATGTATTGTTACTAAGCTGGTTAAACAGAAGTTTTGTCATGAAAAACTGACTTGATTAGTTCAAACATTAAATATTTTCAGTCTTTCACATCAGTAATGCACGAGTTGTGGTTAACTTATTTGCCATCAGTAGTTTGGAGTTGAAATCTGAATCTTAAGTAGCTTTGCCTGTACATAGAATGAAACAAGCTCAGTTTAAGACAGTAGAAAACTTGAATGGCATTTCTTGCTGTATGTTTCCGACCCCCAAAATATGTGCCTCAAACATTTGTGAACCAGTGCAACTTAAGTCTTGGCAGTGTTAAGTTATTTAGGGCTTCCCTGTGTGCGCTGAACCTTGGAAGAAATCTTAACATCAGTGTCTTAAGGGATTCTGCGTACTTTAAAATTACAGTAATTGTTCTAAAAGGCATGCGTAGTCAACTTTCTGAGGTGATCTGAGTGTACAATGTAATTTCTGTGATTTACCTTATTTTGGTGGGTTTTGATGGCATGTTTGCATACTCCTTATGTATTAAGGTTGAGCTTTTCCTTAATCTGACAATAGTTGTTTCTGGCATGAAGATGTCACTGTCAGATTTGGAGTTTTTTGTTAATTTTTCTCTTGAAGTCAAAATAATAAAGGAGTGTGAAGACTACCTTGTGATGATATTCAAGAGATGTATCAAATGAATAATGTAACTTAACTTTGTGAAGTTGAATTTTCTAGGTATGTTTTTAGAGGAGAGGAGAACAGCATTACTGGTTTCTGTGTAAATGTGAGAATTAAAATGAGTGCAACTCAACCTCTCTTAGTTGGTTCATTGTCACAAAAGCAAGAAAATAGCGCAGTTTGGACTACTAGGTGATCTGAGCTTTAAGATTCGGTGTCAGGGAAAATAGTCTCCCCAGTGCTTAATAAATATAATTTAAATTTTGGTGTTGGACTAGATGGTCTTTAAAGATCCCTTCCAACCCAAACCATTCTGTGAAAAATGTTTGTTTTTCCTGTAGGTGTGAACTAAGTGTTTTTGTAATTTTTTCCAAGACTGTTTTAAATTCATAAAAGACTAGAATACTTGTGACATTGCGTTTTATTGAAGTTGCTATCAATAAATTTAAAGTTGTATTGAGTAGCAGCTACAGTAAGTTACTTATTTTCCATTCTAGTCTATAAACTGTTCTACATATTAACAGGCTTGTGGTGTAGCCAATTCAGTAGAGAACAACTATGTTTTAAAGAGCCTGTTGTGAATACTTGATAAAAGTTTTAAAACAGATAATGTAATATTTAAGTACAGTCACTGGGGAAGATTTGTGTGCTACTGTCTAGTTAAAGGAATGGCTAAATGGATTGCCTGTTTCTCTGTTTTTATTCACAATATTTTTCTGCATGGGCAAGGACTTTAAGATATCTTGTTGCATGAGGTTTTTTAGTCAGATGGCATTAGGATTAGTATATCTGTGAATTATATGAATATATATGTGATATCTGTAGGATTAGCTGTGTAGTGTTCAACCCAATTTTCTGAGAGGATGCTGTTTGAACAGGGCTTTCTATCTGTGGCATTTTGTGACACTTGCTGTTGTCAGTACTTAGATTTTACTATACATGTAATTATTTCTATTTTATGGTAGTCAAGACTGCAATCTCGTGTATGAGAAAGCAGCAAAAAACCTGGCAGTCTGTCTCAAGCCTGTGTTTGCAAAATGAAAAAAAAAAAAATATAGGCAAGGGCAAATAGCAAATGGTATGGACAGCGATTTACACTGCAGAATTCGGATTTCCTGTGTCCGACAGTTTTTTAGCTGCAGAGCTATTCTTACATAGAAAATCTTGTCTCTGCTTTGTATCACTTCTGTAATGGGTAAGGTCTGGATCCTGTGGATACCAGCCTAGTTCAGTACCTCATTTGCTATCTAGGAGAGGTACTGGAAGACTTTTTCTGAGATTTAGCAGAACATAATATGATGTCATGGATGTAAGCAAAGGATTAGAACTCACTCTAATTTGAGTCTTGAGTGCTTTACATTTTATTTTTTTAAGCTTTAATGTAGCTCCTTGTGTGGAATTTATGTTTCTTTGGAATCTTTTGTTGTTGTTGTTTTGGGAAAACAATCTTTTAAGCTACCCTCTAGGAAGTAGTGAGGTGCTCTATACTAAATGAAAACCAACTTGATTATGTCGTTGTATGTATGGCAGTAACCTAGGTGTTGAGACTCAGTGTGATTACTTGAGCAGTGAAAGTCACAGGTTAATGATTCCAGATGAAGTTGTGAACTTAAGGAAATGAACCATGGATAATTGTGGCAATAACCAGTCCCTACCAAGGTAGGGACTACAAGATTTGTTTAAACTCTGGTTTCCTATTTTCAAGGAGAAAGTATCTCCAGGAGTACAGGCTTGCTCTAGTTTCTGAATAGACTTCTGAACAGGCTTCTGAACTTGCAGATTAAGAAAACTTACGTGTATGGGAGGGGGGGAAAGAAGTTGTATTGCTAGCCATTAAGTCCACAGGTTCTGTTTTAATTTCTTAAAATCAAACAAAGCCGCAAAAAAGCCAAATTCTGAAACCCTGACTGACTCTGTATGTGTGGATTAGAACAATACAAGTAAAATATGTTTCCAAGTGTGTACTGAATTTTTAAGGACACAAAATTTACATGTATGTGGAACCTCTTATTTAAAGATATATTTTATTTTTTTACTTTCTCTATATATTATTTCATATCTAGAAATAAAAGGTTCTACAGACATGCAAAAAAGTGTACGCATATGTATAAACCACAAATTCCGTAGACTATTACAGAAGTGTGAGGCCAAAGAATTAAAGTGTCTATATGAACAAACACAACCCTTGAAGTTTTCCATCAAGCTAAAAATATATCAACTAACTCATTTGTTTTCTGTTACTAGAAATGACTACCCCAAATAAGACACCACCTGGTGCTGATCCAAAGCAGTTAGAGAGGACTGGTACTGTTAGAGAAATAGGCTCACAAGCAGTTTGGTCTCTTTCATCCTGTAAGCCAGGTAAGATCACAACAAATGATATAAAAAGCTGAATGTATGCTTTTCTTCTTAAAATACATAATGCTCTATGTTTTGATAAGAAGACATACATACAGAGTGTAGCAGTATAACTGCTGTATGGGTAGCCACTACAAATAATTTTGGCCTAGTCTATATTTGATGCAATATGAAAGTTATAACTATATCAGAAATCCTACAATGAGGAAATATATTAACAAAACAAATCTTTTACCAATTTTGTGCTAATTTTTTACTTGCACAGTGAACAAACTAGACCATGACAGTAGAAGCACACCCAGCACTGTATAATTGTTTCTATGCTTTGGCATTTTGCCTGGGTATCTTCAATTTTTAACTTAGAAAACCCATGCAGCTGGGCAACCTACATGTTCTGTCTAAATTTTGTGTGGACTCAGCCATTATGGTGTAGCTCCCTAAAATCCTGAAAGTAGAATGAAACTATTGTAAATGGTCCTGAGGTGCAGTTAATGGTAGCTTATACGTGCTCAAATTATCTGAGAATCTGTATTCTTTTCATTTGAGATGGTAGAGTTGCTGTTTCAGAAATATCTGTTGGGAATTGATCTGGTGGCTTGCTACAGCCTACAGTCAATGATCCCTTTATGTCATAAAATTGTGCTCAGGCTGAATGTCTTTGGCCTGATAGCCTGATATCTTTCTTGGAGAAACATATACAGTTTAGTTGCTTCAAACAGAGTGAAGGTAATTTCTTTTATTGCAGATTAAACTTCGGCTACTGAATTAAAACTGCAGCTAGTGTGGGTAATCAATAAAAGGATGTGATTAGTAAAAGGGCAGATAATGAGGGAATGGAAAAATAAAGATTTGGGGTTGTTTCTTTAAATGTGACAACATTAACTTTCAGGAATACTGTTTTGGGCATCTATTGCTTGTTCTAGCTACTAACTTGAAAAAGTAAAAATATTTCAGGAGACTACTTGAAAAGAAAATGTTATATTTGGCTAAAATTTTATAATGAATGAATGGTCTTTGCTAGTGATTTTCCTTTAGTTCAGCATTTAGATTACAGAATAGGTGGAAAAGCCTAACCATTAAGTATCGTTCGTGCAATTAGTATGAATTACTACTTAACCATTTGAAATTCCAGGACATGTTGAATGGTTTCAAACCCCACAGACGTCAACAGGAGATAAGAATGTAAAGACACTCCAGTACTGAGCTTTGATTGATAGATTCCCCGGTTTCAGTTTAGTGTCACAAAAGTGTAGTCACAACTTGGATATCTAGAAAGATTTCCTTATATGTTATAACTTAGGATACATGCTTTAGTTTGTAACAGTTGAAGAAGAGTTATGTCTGTGATGTCTACATCACAGAAATAGGATATTCAAGACTATCACATTTTCTTTTTCTTAGGATTTGGAGTGGATCAGTTACGAGATGATAATCTAGAAACTTACTGGCAATCAGATGGATCACAGCCTCATTTGGTGAACATCCAATTTAGGTATCCAAAATTACTCTATATGAGTTAGGGTGTTTTGTATAGCTTTGTATTGATTACCGTTCACCAAGATAGGAATTTTGGAAGTGCAAGGACTTCTGGGTTAATCGTGTTACCCAACTGGTAAGAAGACAGATAGCATTTATAAAAATGAGGTTTTAAGATGTTATGGTTACTAAATCCCTAAATAAGCAATAAAAAGGAATGTTTAATAGTAGGTCACTTGTAACGGTTTCACATTTGCCTACCCAAGGTGACATTTTTCTCCTGACTTTGTCTTTGAGTGTAATTTGAAGGGTTGATTAAAATAGTCCTGTGTGAGTTAACAACTGATTGTCCGAGAAACCTTTTCCTATTCTGTTCTGTGTATGATGCTTTCAGTCCTTTTTCTTTAATCGAACTCTTAATATGAGGTTAGATATTTGTCACCTTTTTTATTTGCTTTCTGGAGAACTCTTTGGTATAATAGTAGAGCCCATATTTGAAAAGCTAAACCCATGCTTCGTCACATACAAATGCTTATTTGGCATCTTGGACTTCTGTTGTATTTCTTGGTGTACTGACACTTTGGAAGGCAGACAAAGAAGAACAGTGAAAATCACCTCTATGTGCATAACTTAATGTGGAAAAACACCTAGCTGCTTAGCTGCCAGGTTCTTACAAATAAGTAGACACACTTGTATTAAGTTTTAGAACATTTAACTCCTTAGTTATTACAAACTAGCAACAAACTCATCCTGAATGTTTTTCTTTACGATCCTTACATAGCTTTTGTTGCTTCTTGCAGAAGAAAAACAACAGTGAAGACACTATGTATTTATGCAGACTACAAATCTGATGAAAGTTACACTCCAAGCAAAATCTCTGTCAGAGTAGGAAATAATTTTCATAATCTCCAGGAAATCCGGGTAGGTCAATGGCACTTTGCTTTCTATATTAAAATAGTCCTCTCTTACTAGGACATCTGGTGTAGTAAAATTGTTTTTGGAGGTAAAATGTGCCATGGAGGGGGGTGGAAAGTCTGGATTTATTTTGATGTTTGCTTTTATTTTTTCTTGTAAATTTACTAGACTGGTTTCTGTTTTTGTCAGGCTCCATTACCAACAAGGTTATAACAGACTTGATATATAGATCTTGTAATGGAATAGAGAGTGGAGTTTTACACAGCAGGGCCGTTTAGAATGGTTAAACTTCGATCTCACTTGAAATATCTGCCAGCCCTGTGCATTGCATACATCAAAAGGGAGGCTTGGCTTTTAAATACTTGTGTTTTTAGATGTTTTTTTAAAAAAAGGTATTATTTCAAGTTTTCAAGAGTGGGTTGCTCAGCTATTGAATCTCTCCAGGAATCAGAATTTAAAACTAGAGATTTTGGTTATGACTGTGTATGGTACATAAATATATTTGGAGTCTGGAGTTCATTTCTGGGAGGATGCACGTACTCTTATTAAGTAGTAGCATTCAATTCAAAGCTCCATTTGAGACCCTGGCAAAAAGAAATTGGGACACCAGGCCTGATCATCAGTTATGCAAAGTTTCTTTGTATTCTGCAGGTTACGGAAGCTTCGTAGAAGTGAGAATCTGTTTGTATTTCCTAATAGCTTCCTCTAGCCATTACTGATGGTGAGAGCTAGGGGAATTGCAACACTAACTTTTCTAAACTCATATACAAAGAAAGCAAGATACCAATTTAAATGGAAGTCTAATGTAAATTACAATCAGATGTGTTCATAAATGATGTTTTGCTTTTGAGTACAGTTTCTAATCTTTTGCGATGCTTTTGCAGTCAGAGATGTAGAAATCTTGGAAGGGATGCAGTATTTTGGTTTCTAACAATATGATGTAAAATCCAGTTTCCATTTCTGTAGATATGACATTTGATGCTTAAGACTTCGAATGGGGCATAGATTAGTAGTATTTTGTTAATGTTTTTATTTACAAAAGTGTAGTAGTCAAACCCAGTGTTTTTTCATGGTGACACTTCTAGCCAGAAAATGTTTCTTTGATGTGACAACAGACATAAGATTTGAGTTGCTATAACTGCTTAGTTTTGCTAGCCTTTTGGTAAATAGTAAAAGCATATTTAAAATAATCCATGATCTTTATAGAAGTCCACCTTGAAAGCTAATCAGGTTACTCATGAGCAGGTATCTTTTGCTAATTTTGAGTTATGGTAACCTCATGTTTCAGATTCCTCTTCTCTGGAGCTCAGCAGCTACTGGCTGATAGATAGGGAAGGTTTAACTTGCCTCCCTTATATGGCAGGTATTACAATAACAGAAGGATCAGAATGACAAGAAAAGGGAGGTGCTTAAGCAGTGGTTTGAATTTTTACTTTTGGGATTTTTATTGTTTTCACTTTGTTTTTCAGTTGATTGAAGTCCCAACAAGAGCAACTTATAAGTAGAAAGTTGTAGATGCAGTGGCAGTAGAAAGTGTAGTAAACATGTATGCCTCAATGCTAGTCATGTTAGTGCTATGTATATATGTTTTCAGTGATTCGTGATGTTCTCAAGTTTTGACCTATACTTTTATCCTAGATCTGAAATGGAAGGGTCTTAACCTTTTTTTTTTTTTTTTTTAAATTAAATATTATTTTGAAAGAAACCAATTACCACATTACTTTGAATTTCATAAGCTGCAAATTCTGGCTTTTAATCTTCTTAATTGCATCGTAGTAATTTGGGAGTTGCACTTTGTATAACTGTTACAGCAGCCGGGTCTTTTCCTGTGTGAGGCTACGGGTCTGTTTTCCCGAGTGTCCACTAGATGTCATTGTTGTCCTTAATTAGCAGTTTGATTGTGTTCTTGTAGTCTACCAATAACTAAATGATTATCCTTTTATAATAAGGTTTAGTACAGCATTATACGTATAACTTCAATAACTTAAGTTTCTTATACAGTGTTAAACTTCCACTTTTGCAGATATACATGTTATTAAAGATCTATAGAAACAATGAAATGCATAATAAGCATATTAGTCTCCTGCAGTTTCTCAGGCAATAATTCTTTAACTCTTTTCTTGCTAAACACGGGATTTTATATGTAATGTACTTAGTTAAAAAACACTTTTAAATGAAAAAAGTTACTAGTATCTTTTGTAGTATATTAATATGACTGTTACATGTTGCATGAGAGCAGTAATTCTTATGTGTACCACATGCTTTTTTTACTTCAAAACTGAGATGAAAATACAGGCAAGCAGCTTACTAATGAGGTACAATACTTCAATGCTGTAAAATACTAGTAAGTAACTTTTTCACCACTGTAATGCTAAATATTGCAATCAATTTTCATATTTTCTAAACTACCTGATACTCAGAATGTGTTTCTTAAAGTTTCCTTGAGTCCTGAAACTTTCTCTTTTCTTCAGCTTCTCTGACCCATAGGCAGGTTATTAAAGCAGCGTGAACTGTTATGAGCTCTTTAGAGAAATCTGCTTAATTATAAAATGATTCTATTTGGCTTCAGGACTGATTAACTGAGTGGAAAATCCAGCTAAATCATTTTATATTTTTCCATGGATGTTTGCCCAGCTCACAATGTCTAATGAAAGTCCTATGATGCCTCCATGTGTTTTCTTCGTAATGGTCTCATTTTCAAAACAATGCAACGTGCTGTTCGACTAGGTTTTATCACTAATATGAGATTAGCTTTCATTTGTGATCTAATATGTAGGTATATCTTTTTTGGAACCCAAGGTGATGATATTTTCTGAATAAAAGGTGGGAGGTTTTTTTTTCCCCTCTGAGAAACAAGTCATTTGTACCCTGTCCTGTGGGTGAGAGCAGCCATCATAATCTGGTAGTATTATTCCCTTGCTCAGCTGGAGGAACTACAGTTAAGATGTGTGCACTAAGTCTTCTCTTCTGACTGAAGTGCCTGTTTTATCAGAGCTGTCAAGCCTGGAGAGCAAATATTTTCTCATTTTCAGTCTGAGAGTTCTCCCACATAAGGGTGCAAACAGTCTGGATGGAGAAGATAGAGGCATTTTTGGAACAGCATCCAGACTCTTCAGTACGTGATTTAAGTTATTACACTTTCTCATGATCCAGAAATAACCTGCCACATAGGATATGAGTGAAATGTTGGCTGCAAGAGATCTGTGGTCTCTTCACACGTGCTTGTTGCCTTTGTACCTCTCAAAGACATTTAGGTCATCAGCAGTTCATCTTGCCAGAAAAAGATCAAGTGTTAATGATGTTAAGTGTAGGCAGGATTTCAGGTTATATTCGCCTAGTAGTTTCAATGGCTTCTACTGTCAGCCTATAATGTAGAAACTTTACACAGACAAGACACCTGTAAACTCTTGTATTAGCCAGTTCTGTATCTTTGGATATGAAAGACACTCTGGGAAGGTGTGGGTCACACTTTCTGGAAGTAGTTAATTCTTGCATTTGTTCACATCTGAGAAGTGACTGGTGTTTAATCCCAAAATTAAAGTTGCTCTAAAAGACAGAACACCTCTTGAAAGAGACAAAGTCTTCTATTCTGCTGTGCCTTGTAGAGGGCTCAACAACAGAATGTGGCGTAAATATCTTGGCTGTAACTAGGTAAGATGCAACTAGACAGATATAACTTCCTTCCCATTTTAGTAGGAGTTAGTTCTTCCAGCAAACTTTTTGGACTTTTGCACGATTTTTGGAGTCGGATGTTTTTCATTTAGTTTTTTGTGTAGTTCTGAGAAAATGGCAAGCTTTGTGATAGGACCAAACCATTTCTAGCGCATGGAATTGCTATGTGTACTTTGCTTTTCAAATTGCTTAAGGGTAGTAATAATCCACATGGCAGTTAAGATGTATTAATGTTCAGGCCTAAAAGGAAATGATCAGAAATCCTCTGTTGAAGCGGGTGACAGGAAGCTGCTGGCCATGAATGTGTTCTCGTTATGCAGTAGGGCAAATCTGCAAACAGATAGCATCGTGGCTTTGTGTGACCTAGGTGAGCAAGGTGTTTGCTCTTGACTTCTTTCAGAAGCCATTCAGTCTGAAGCAATGCTGCTGGAACAGGGTAACTCCCCTGGTGAACAACCTCTATAAGTATGTAATGCTTTATCACTGGAAAGCGATGGATAGCGGTTATGTAGAAAAAAGACACTTTGTCACTGGAGGTCCTATGTAGCAGACTTTGCATCAAAGAATGATACTGAGTATTAAACATTACTTTGGAAGAGGCTTGCTTTACCTCAGTTGCTGTACACTTTCCTCCTGGAACAAAAGCCTGCTTAACTTCTTCAACAAGTCTCAGTTCTGAAGGTAATGTTGAAGACTTGGGTGAAAGCCCTGTTACCTTAATGTGTCGTTGCTGGCAACAGTGTAAGTCTTTTGTTTCAGCTTTTTCTTGCCTTTTTTTGAATTGCTGTCTACTTTGTTTTCAGTTTGTTTGCTAGCCCTTTTGGTCTATCTTGGTGTTTTGTAACCAGTGGTTCTGGTGCTCCAGAGCTGTTGCAAGCACAGCAGTCTGCCTGGTGGGCGTGGTGTTGTGGACCAAGCACCACGGACAGGGGCACTGCTTCCTTGTTTGAAGAGATGCTGCACTAGAACAGGGAGTTCTCAACAGAGGAATGCCCAAGCTGGGGAGCTTTTTGACGAGGTGGTTAGGGAAGTCTGACTTTGTTGTAATCTCTTTACTCCTACAGGGTCCAGTGGTTGCAGTGAAAAGGCTGGACTCTCCTAGACATTTTCTGAAATTCAACGTCTAGCAATCTCAACCTGTTTTCTGTATGTGGAGTAAACTTAGATACTTGTCATAGGTCTGTTGCAAGAAAATGTGCTGCCTCTGTGTCTCTGATCAAACATATCTAAGGTGCATTTTAAACTGAAGATGGAGTACTGTGTTGTTACTGCTTTATTTAGGTTCCTGACTAGGCTTCAGGTACTTTGGTTGGGAACCATTCCTCAGTGTTCTT